GTGGAGATAGCCACGGATGGCGGGCTTGAAATAGTAACCTCCGTCGGGCTTGCCACATTAATGTCCGGTGGGCTTGCCATATGCGTGGCCAGCGGGCTGGAGATAGCCCCGGCTGACAGGCCTGCCATCGGCCTGGTCAGCGGGCTGGAGATAGCCCCGGCTGGCGGGCTTGACCTAGGAACCGCCGGCGGGCTTGCCACATTAATGTCCGGAGGGCTTGCCATATGCGGGGCCGGCGAACTTGACTTGGCGCGGCTAGTTCTGAGCGTCCGGCAGGCTTGTCTTCGGCGCGGCCAGCGGGCTGAGGTGAGCCGCAGCTGGCGGGCATGACAACGGCGCGGCCGGCACGCTTAACAGTTGGGTCTTCCATCCGCGGAGACAAATGGGGGAGAAAAAGGAAAACCAAAGACTGTTCAAAAATGAAAATAAAACACGGGTGAAGGAGCGCCGCTTACTGTTTTGGTCAGTCATTCTGTCACAGTTCACACACACGAGGTACACGGGAACGAAGGAGCGAGGAGACACGGAGTAAAGTAACTCAAAAGGGTTTATTGAACAAAGGCTTGGGATCACAGGACTCGACACATCAGGATGACAGTATGACGTTTAACGACTGACCAATGACAAGAACTAGAACACTCTTTAAATGCACAGGAACTGATGAGGGGAAGACAAGGGACACCTGGAACTCATAGGACAATCAACATAGGAAACACCTGGGAACAATTAATTCAAAACACGAGACAGAGAAACTGGATGACGGAGCACACAGGGAGCAAAGACACACACAAAACCTGGCCCAGAGTCTGACATTAGGAGTTCAGCACTTTTTTAATGTGTCAAACATTTCCAAATCAAAATTCTTCAAGTTTTGCCTTCAGCACAATCTTAAGAAAAAAAAGTTAGAACATTCTTACGAAATGTTTTGGGAATACAAATTTCCTTAACTTTATTCCCAAGTTATAAGTTATAATAATAGTTAATGAAACTGAAATTAAATTTATTCTTGAATGGATAGTTCACCCAAAAATGACAATTCTGTCATCATTTGCTCACCCTCAAGTTGTTCCAAACCTGTATACGTTTTTTTCTTCTGCTGAGCACAAAAGATATTTTGAAGAAGCTAAACAGCTGATGGTAGCCATTGACTTCCACAGTTTTTTTTTTTTCATTCTATGTAAGTCAATGGCTACTGTCAACTGCTTGGTTCCTTGCTTCCTCAAAATATTTTTTTCTTGTACTCCGCAGCCCTTCTGTCCTTTCATTCACTTTTCATTTTTGGGTGAACTATCAGTTAAGGAATGTTTCGTGAATCTAGCTTCTGGTCTTCAAATGATCTTCCACTTGCAGCAAAGGCAGAGAACTTCAGTCTTTTAACAGTCAGAGATTCAGGTGAGGTTTCATACCATTCTTTCTTCCAGCAGAACCTTTCTAACGGTTTACCATTATATCTTTATATCTGTTGCCCAATCTACTTTTTTCTTCTTATTTGCCAGTTTCAGATTTTTTTTTCTTTGAAACTAAAGGCGAGTAGCATCTAAGAGTCTTGTATTCACTCTTACAATTGAAGCTGGTGTTCAATGAAGCATCCAGCTGAGCACCAGGGAGGGGTTTGTTTTCCAAACTAGAGACTCTGATGTACTTGTCCTCTTCTTGCCGTGAAGAAGGGCCATTCACTTCTATCTTTGTTCTGGTTAGATACAGTCTGTTTTCTTCTGTTGAGACAGCAGTGCATGAAACGGTGTTCATCTAAATGTCTAGCGATATGTATTTTTGTTTTAAAACCAACATTTGACTTGCAAGAGTATACTTTTGAGATAGTGTACACTTGCAGGAAAGATACTGTGCAATTTCCACACTTCATTAAGCAGCACAAACATTTGCAACAGTGTCTCAAATACCAAAATGTACTTTAGACTGTATTTATTAAGATTAAATGCTGCATTGGCTGAACAGAAGCATTAGTTTCTTTCAGCAATACAAACATGTCTTTATGATGCCAAACATTTGAACTGTACTGTATGAATATACACTTCCACTCAAAAGTTTAGGGTCGATAAGATTTTTTTATGTTTTTGAAAGTCAGCTCTTAAGGCCCGTTCACACCAAGCACGATAACTATAAAGATAACGATAAAGATATAGTTCTAAAAATCGTTCTCAATATTAAAGAATAGCATAGTTCACACCACAACTATAACTATAACGATACAGAGGAACGATATCGTTGTGATCACTTTCAAATAGTGTTGTCAAAAGACCCGGTACTTCGGTACCAAGTCGGTACTAAAAAAATTAAAACGTTACGGTACCAGGTTTTTTTAATACCGGTGGTACCAAGTACCCGGTCAACCCGGTTCTTGATGCGCTATCAGAAATGTGCGCAGATGCGCTTCTCTTCATAAAAGCACTGAGACATGGCGACCTCAAAATGAGGAAAACAATCTAACAAAACACTTTAAAGACACCCAGATCAAATGAAAGAGTTCAAGCAGGTAAGTTTCATTTTAATTTTTATTATTTGTGTTTCCCGTACATTGATTTATTTCATATCAAAACTCACCGCCACAAATAGATTTTCCAAAAGGCTTTGACTTCGTTGAATAAACGTGAGCACTGCATGTGTCAAAGTCGAAACCCGGTGCGGGTGTTTTTATATCACTGTATTTCTGGAAACCGACTGTCTTCAGAAAATTATGGATGTCATTTTCATTTCATCTTGCCTGTAATGCCTGAGCAGCGTTTGTGAGCGCAGCGCACGAATTAATGCTCCTATACCTTTTTTTAGAGTAAAAAAACAGGAGGACATGATGATATTTACTATTTTTACACACCAGAGGTTTTTAAATGAATTGTGAATATAAAATATGTGTGTTAGAGAATGTACAAATGGTTAACATTGTTTGTGTCATCAGTCAGAAGTTCTGGGCTTTTTTTTTTTTTTTTATTGTTTTTTAGCTAACTTAGTTGTTATTCTTGGCTGAATAGCTCTAGGTTTTCTCACCCAGTTTAGGTTTATCAAAAATACAGTAAATATTGTGAAATATTTAAATACCTGTTTTCTATCATTTTTTTTTATATTAAAATACATTATTAAATTAATATTATTTAAATAAAACTTACTGACACCAAACGTTGTAGCGTGCATAAAATAATAAAGTATTTAAAAATCAATTATTCATAATTAAAAAAAGGTCATGTCCTGAGCAATGTATGCAGCAAACAGGCAGAATGTAACCTCCTCCAAATGCCTGCCTGTGGGGAATATTTAATTATATCTTAATTATAGAGGTTTAACAAGAGGCACTTTATCTGTGCAGTGCCATAGAGAGGCGTTTGGTCACAGTTGCATACGCACACACGGATACACAACACACAGGACAGAGAGCTGGGTCTCTACCCCGTGCTGTAAAGCTGCATTTGAGTGGCTCCTCCATCTGTCTGTCCTAGATTAAATACTTGAGGCAAGAAGAGGACGAAGGACCTAATAAATGAGAATGTCCTACTATCACAGAGCCCTGATCATAAAAGGCAACACTTAACATTGCAGCAATCGATGCAGTCAAAGAAATAATGCTTTGTCACCAAGAATGCAGTGAGCATTCTGTTTATCAGTCTCCTTTAATGCTGCAAATATCCTAGTGGTGGGTCTGGCTGATATATATCGAATATTCGCTCTGCTAAAGAGCACATCATTAGGTTAGTTTTGCAATCCTTTCCTGAGACAGAGATATTTCAATAGTGTCTAACTTAACCTTCAGTGCATGGCAGAATTATGTTAGAGCTCCTACACTACATTCAATACATTTCTGTGAATCAATTCAGTTCAATTCAAATTAAATGCTTTAGTAAAAATATACAGTGTATGTAGGTAAATATTGGCGTTTATTTCTACAGTATATACAATATTGTTGTCCATCTGATAATGCTGGAACCTTTTTTTTATTATTGGTTCTAACTAAATAAATAATTAAATATAATTTTTTCTCAATTTAATTTACTGAAGAATGTGAAGGGAAAATGCTTAAATTATGTTCAATTATTATTATTATTATTATTATTTTGTATTTTACCTTACTCTGAATCTCATTGGCTACCATGGCTGTGTGGTTAAAAATATAATTCCACCAGATGGAAAAAATAAACCAAGATATTATAAGGTGATATACACACACTAACATTTAAAGATTTGTGGTCAGTAAGAAGGAAATTAATACTTTTATTCAGCAAGGAGTCATTAAATTGGTATGAAAAAAGTATGAAAAAATATTAAGAAGTGATTTCAACATTAATAATAATAGGAAATGATTGTTGAGCATTGATGATGATTTCATCAGCATATCTGAATGATTTCTGAAAGATCATGACACTGAAGACTTGAGTAATGGCTGCATGAAAATTCAGCTTTGCCATCACAGCAATAAATTATATTTTAAAATCTATTAAAATAGATAAGACTTATTTTAAATGGTAATCATTTTTCACAATATTACCATTTGTACTGTATGTTCAACTAAATGGAGCCTTAGTGAGATTTCTTTCAAAAATGTAAAAAAAAAAATATATATATTCTTACTGACCCCAAACTTTGGATTGGTAGTGTATGTCATTATATATTTATGTCATCAAAAGGCTGAATAAAAGGAGAAAAAAAATACAAAGGATAATTTTTTAGCCATTATCGCTCAGCCCTACCTGGCAGTTTCATTACCAAGAATGGTACAAGATTAGAGAAGTGCAGAGTATTTCACTGATGTACTTTGAAGGTAGGCATAAAAGGGAGTAAATGTGATAGATGTCCTCATTTATTCCTGTATAAGGAGGTTTGTGGTGTTATAAACTTCAAACAGGACACCCTCAGAGTGGGGGCTCAACTACACCCGCTTAACAAGGAGTTATTAATGCGCAGTTGACAGGGACACCAGGACGAATGACTTTGGAACCCCAGTCCAAGCTCATTTCCCAGGGTGCAGAGCAAGAGGCTCCATTATTCCCCTAACCGACGCCACGCTCTCTCCGCAGGAGAACGCTATCCGCAGGCTCTAATTATTAAGAAGGTGGGGATAACAAATGTTTGGTGAGAGAAGTTTTCTGTTAAAAGTAGGACGTGAAGTGACACGGTTCCGTCTCAGGTGGGTTCTAGGGCTTTATTTTTAAAACGGGGAATATTTTCCTTTTTTTTTTTACGGAATGAATCAGGACGAGTCCCACCCCTCTCCTGTCAGTTGAACACAATGTCAGAATGCATGGGGTCCTATTCTAAGCATCTCCCGCTGCGTGGCGCTAGGCTACGGATGAGCCGGAATGTCACGTGATTCGCTGCCGCAACCTTCGCTTCTGTTAGCACTCCATGTAGGTCAGTAAGGAGGACAGAGAAAGACGCAGACCTCGTTTCCATTTCACAGTATTTTTGAGCCGAAAAAAAAAAAAGTCCTGATGAAAAACGAAATTCTCTTCTACCAAGCAAAAGCTCCTCATACAAAATCATAAACCTTTCCCTATGACAGTCCAAGCAAGATTAGGGCACACAACCAAATAATCTCATCAAGATAGTGGGAAAATGTTATTGATGGTGGAGAAAAATGTAACTCAAACTCTATCAGAGAGAGAAGCCTGAATGAAAAGAGCAGAGTGGGTTTAGGAGAGGCACAATGGAGTTAGAAAATTAACTGCATAAAAATGGAGAGACCTCTGTCTCAATGCAGTCGTTTAGCGCCGTCGTTATGTTTGATCTACAGGCTTTGAAATCTTCAGGGAGGGAGAAAAAAAAATGAAAGCGAGCTTTTTAAATTAAAGTGTGACCCGACAATGATACCTTAGCAGCAAAGAAAGTGTTCATCCACGATATTAATAGAAAAGAAACACATTTTGACAACACTGAATGTGGACAATTACCTTAAAGGGGAGTGATTTCTCACTGCAGGGGCTTATGGGTAGAGAGTGAAGGCTGCTGGCAGGACTGATCTCGGTGCTCTGAAAGGCAAAGATCAGACACCTTAATATTGAATGAGCACATGAAAAGAAAATAACTTAAAAAAAGACCTGCTCATCTCACTCTGAAATAGTTGCCTCTGAGGTTACTATGCTTGGCAGTATTATAAAGTTTGTTTTTAAGTATCTGACCCACACACAGCCGAAGAAGACTACAAGAACATCTTCACCAAAAGCCTTCAAAATATAATTTGTTTCACCAACTTAAAAACATGTAGAAATTAATTTTAATCAAGCACAATAAATGCTTCAAAAGAAAGGCACAAATTAAGCAACACTGTTATTACTCTAAAACTCAGTAATGAAACACACTGGGAAATTAGCTCATGTCGTACATATTATGTAATTATACCATCCAAACAGGGGAGCAGACAGCCCTGTCCTCTCTGGGCTGTAGCCTCAAACGCTTCTCTCCTTCATCACGCTACTGCTGCCTCTCCCCCATATTAATGTGAGGAAGAGAGCTGCAGATGCAGTGACACTGTCAGAGACGCAGAACACTTTAGTCTGAGTAGAGCAGCAAACAGACAATATATTGAGTGATAATATAAATGTCAGACACTTATGTAAAAAAAAAAAAAAAAAAACCACATGCCCATGTTAACATTTATATTATATTATATTATATTATGAATGTTTTTTTTAACTAAGATAAGTACTTGAATAATTGAAAAAGTTAGCTATATTATTAAGTAATGTAATATGAAAGTTGTTGAAACACGTTAATTTAGCATTGGGAGGCAATAAAAATTGTTTTCTATTTTTAACAGTTTCTATTTTGCTGCACTGCTAAAGAGGACGATAAAAATTTTACTTCAAATTTTGGACAAAAAAAAAAATGTACTTAAATGGGTCCTATTATGCCCGATTTACAAGATGTAAGTTTCAGGTGTGCCCAGAATGTGTCTGAAGCTTCAGCTTAAAATACACAACAGAAGCAAAAATATGTTGTTGTCTCTTTAAATGCAAATGACCCTTTCAGAAAAGGGCTGTGCTTTTCACAGCTTGTGCCTCAGTTACTACAGCAACAATTAACAAAACTTCGGTTTAGTTTTGATTAGTATCTCTTTCACGCTCGTGCTCACATGACGTTGCAGTTCTTCGTCAGCATGAAAAGTTTATTCTTTGTATGAATTTAAAACGTTTTGTCAGTTTGAACTTTTGATATATGATTTTCTGACTGCACGCACAAAAAGCGCGCTCACAGAAAGCTGGCTCTTTCATGTCGGTTGTGTCAAAAACACAAAGTTCACACACAGTCGGTTATGTCTGCAAACATAAACAGATGCATGTGTATGAGTATATTAGATCTGTGAAACGGTGTCTCTTGGAAATGGCGACAATACACTACTAACGCATTTCAACCAGGCCTGTACCAGTTCTCTGTGACGTGCATCTGCATATCAAAACTTTCTTTTTTAAAGCAGCATTAAAAATAAAACAAAAATATAACTTAAAGCAATAAAATAAAATAAAATAAATCTCTGAGGATCTCTGAGGCAATGCTTTCTTTTTTTAAAAGCTATCCACTATTTGTGGGTGTATGTGGAGGGGCCCCAAGACATTCAGTTATTCCACCGGCAGCAAGGCAAGGGGGAAAAAAAAATACCGGGAAAATGAGATGACTATAATCAAGTAGTTTCAATGGGTCTATAAATTTCAAACAATTTACAATATCACAACCATTACAATGTCATTTTGGTAAATGTTTCACAGCAAACGTGAATGAATTTTAAGCAGCATTTCAGACTCCATAATTATTAAAGGATTCAAGACTGATCCAGCATGTGCTGCTTTGATTAATGTGTTTTCTACGACTGCATTTTAAGTACAAGGACAGGACAAGAAAACTGTAATGAAAAGTACAAACATATTAAGGTAATCAAAGATGGTATGAAAGCAAAAGCAAGAGAAATGTTTCACTAATGCAGATTCTTCCCAGTGCATTCAAACAAAAACTGCTAAACGACAAAACAGAATAGAGTCAAAATTATTTGCTGAAAAATGCAAAACAGTAATTTAAGAATGTACCCTGTTCAATATTAAAACTAAAATCTCTGCTCAGAATACGAAGTAATTATCAGAATGGTTATATATGCACATGGCTACATCTAAACGGTTTTAGCTGGTGGGAAATGCAATAGTTATGTAAATGAAACAGGCAGGACACACACACACACACACACACACACACACACACACACACACAA